CCTGCTTAAAAAAAAAACTCAAAAACCAATCCCACAAAAAAACAACCTCGAGACAGCCAAATTCTAGCTCCCGTCACTATTCATTGAAGCTATCTATTAAGAAAGTCTTGTGTTCTCATCTTCATGTGTATTCTGTGCAAAGATCAAATATCTTATCTTTTTAGAAAATTAATACTACCCTTTAAAATAGATAACACTGTTGATTTCGCAGGAGCAAGTTCAGTGGAGGTCCACCAAGATGGTCAGGTGCTGCAGTCCCTGCTCTATGAAGAGGAGCGGAGGGAACTAGATTCAGTCATCCTGAAGAAGGATCCTTTGGGGGAGACCTAACAGCAGCCTTCCAGGGCACATGGGGGAATCAGGCTCTTTACAGCAGTGAATGGTGGGAGGATTAGAGACAACTAGCACAAGTTGAATGGAAGAGGTTCAGGCTGACGTAAAGACAAGCTGTTTCAATGGTGATAGTCAAGCAGTGGAACAGGTTGTCCCAAAATGTTGTGCTGGCATCATTCCTGTTGATTCTAGAAACCTGGCTAGATACAGTCCAGAGTAACCATGTCTGACTTCATGGCTGACTCTGAGCAAAAACTTAAATGAGAAACCTCCCAATGTCTCTTCAAGCCTGAGTTATCCTATGATACTAGGGTATCTTATGCAAATATATTGGCTAGTAGCATTGACCGTGTATTTTTATGTATTATATACACTTCCATTTTAAAATGGTTTCTGCCTTAAGTGACATGTGACTTAGTTCACAACAGTGTTATGGAAAAATAACAGCAACACTGCAGGATGCTGTGTGATGGTTGGACCCAGGTCCTTTAATAGTGAGAAGCTGGCAGTAGACTAGCATATTTGAAACCAAGAATGTAATTAGGGATTCCAGATGCTGAACTGAAGTGCCCCTACCATGTGATCTTTGGAACAAGCTCAAGAGAGATGAATGAGGCTTGTGTCAATAGCAAGAATTCAAGTGGTAGCTGATGTGATTCAGAACCTCCTTCAGTTTGTCTCCTTCCTTGGCTTGGCTTTTTCCTTGCATGTCTTTACATTCTGTTTTGAGACTTTATTTCCTTCTGGAACTGGGTCCCGATTGCTTTTACAGATCTGTTTTCACATCGGGGCTATTGCTAGCAACTTGATTTTCCAGATACTCTTTTGAACTGGAGAAGAGTAGTTAAAGGCCTTAATATACCACATTTTTAATGTTGGCATTCAAGTGATTTAATCACTACCTCTTTTCCTGATTAAGTGGATATGCAGAAGAGACTGAATACTAACATTGGATAATTGAACATGACTTGGTTGTATTGTAAGACTGTAGTTGCTAGACTTTGTGCTGGTCGCAGAATTTCTTACCAGTCTTGCAGTAGTGTGATACTTGCCTTTACCTGAGTCTTTCAGTAACACTCTCTGAATAACATTCTTGCTCTACACAGCATGCTAGTTCCTTTCTTTAAATGCATTTCACTCCATACTTTCCAAAGGGAAGAAAACAACTCTTCACTTCGAATTGTTTTACCCATAAAAGTTTGTGCACATACACTGCTGGAAAGCACTTGAATACTGTTGCAGGTTATTCGTCTTGGGGCATCTCTAATCTGTGGAAGTTAGGGAGTAGAATAAAATCATAGTTTTGGGTAACAAGCACTGGAAAATATTTTGGTATGAAATTTGGCTCTTCTGGCATGGGATTTTAAAAAGCAGCAACGTTAAAACACATTCTACCTGCAAAAGGATGCTAACTTTACATATGAACTCTTCCACGTCATTTGTTTGGTAGAACTTTTTTACAGATTTCCCTGCCCCATCCGTATCTATCTATAGTTTTCAAGTAGTGAGTAGTACCAGTCAGATTCAGGTGCTCAAACCCTGTCTTGCACCAGGGAAGTGATCTCTAAGAATTTCTAATTTGCTTGACAACATAACAAGTCAATTTGAAGCGGATTTAAAGTGTAACCTGAAAACCTTACTTATCAATATTAGTCGAAGCACCCTGGTCGAAGTTACTTGTACCAACTGCAGAGCTCTCACAGTTTGCAACAATTATGTACCTGGTGGTTATTAGTGTTTTAGCTCTAGTGCCCCACCTTCTCATCCAGTTACATTTAGTTAAGGAAAAGGTTGTAACTGTTTGAGCAGTTTCAGGATAAAAGGGAAGAATAAAACCCCTGTGAAATGAATAGGTAAAGAATTGTAATGCATAAGCCTTTAACTCTTTGTCAGGGAAGCAGTGCCTTGAAACTTAGCAAGCCAACTGTCTAATTACCAGAGGGTGACTTTCTGTGCAAATGAATTATTAGTTATAGCTCAAGCATTTCACATTTATCTTTTAGCGTTATAGTTCCCTAGCTAGAATAAAGTGGGTAGGTTTTAGGAGTGCGCATTATCTTTAGCTCCTCTGAAGTCTGGAAATGCCCAGTTAGCTTTTAAAATAGAAGGTGAAGTTGAATTTTGTACATCTCTTTACTGCTTTTTTACTTCAGAACAGCAAATAATATAGCGTAATAATATACTATGATCTACTACTTGTTGGCAGAACCTATTTAACCTACTGTTTTTTTCATTAGGTATTTGAAAAGATTTAAAGTGATGAAAATTAAAGTACTACGAAGCTGGTGCCGTCAGATACTGAAAGGCTTGCAATTTCTACACACACGCACTCCTCCCATTATTCATAGAGACTTAAAATGTGACAATATCTTCATTACTGGCCCTACTGGATCAGTCAAGATTGGAGACCTTGGTCTGGCAACCCTGAAACGAGCTTCTTTTGCCAAAAGTGTGATAGGTAAGCCTCTCCTGTTTTGGAGGCTGATGAGCCAGTCTACTTAACTTGGAAACTCGAGTATTTTAAAAATCTTTTTTCCTCCCTTAAACATATGGTTTCAGAGGTACATGGTCAAAGCGTGAAAACATTTCTTGGCTGTTGAGGTCATTCTGTGTTCCTGATGAGATTACATGTTGAAACTTTGGTTGGGCTTTTGGTATTCTATATATTAACATTAAGCATTTTGGAATATACGTTTATTGCCCTGCACAACAGTTTAGTGCAACATTGTTGATAAAACCACTCTTTTAACTACACATAAATCTCAGCTTTAATATGATGCTGCTTCAAATAATGTACAAATGCATTTTGGTGACCAAGCAATGTTTTGATAGTTAGAGTAGCATTAATTTAGACAGCCAATTATTTATGTATTTAATTATTTTACTGTCACCAGGGGTTAATATTAAATCTCTTGTACTTTATGAGTAATCAGAAACTAAGGTATATAAAAGACAGTCTTTATATCACAGTCTGACTGTGATATAATGCCTTACTTGGGGATTCTATAGAGTACGGGTTTGTGTAACTTGGGAAGATGCCTTGGGGAAGTATTACCTTATACTGGCTCTGTTCTTATGTATCCACTAATAACCTTTTTCAGAAATTGATTTGATGGAACTATGATAACCTTTTCTTGTGAATTCTTGAAAGAACTGGTTTTATCAGCTTTGTTTCTATGGTGGGGTGAATAGACTGCAGGGTATGAAATTGCTCTCTCTCCCTCAGTATTTAGAGCTTGCTAAAATGCAGTATTACTCAACAGTCCTATACTAGATTCCTAGATGGGATCAATGGTATATGCTCATAAATTGTCTTGCAAGCTGTTGCTGAAATATTTCCTGCTTCTTAACCAGGTCAAAGTATTAATAGGAAAGAAAAGCATACAATGTAAATAAATAAAAAAATAATTTCTTAAGCATTCTTATCTTAACCTCAAATTTATCATTGAAAAATGTCCACTTCATATCTAGCTATCTGTTAACAGTTAGCTTTTGGATAAATGACTGCTGTTACATTCTCTTTTTTTGATTTTAGTGTGGTGAAAACAAGCAATGTGGCTATAGAATGAGCTGTGAATGGTCTTGAATCTGATGTCTGCAGGAAATAATTCTGTGCTTAAATTTACAAAAAGCAAACTTGCATCTCTGGCTTAAAGTAAATCTGATCTTTCAGTGCAATCCCTTTGAGGGGATGCTGTGATGCTTCACTGGGCAATAATTTTCTGCACACTATTTAAATGGGACTTGTTGAATCTCACGCTCTATGCCTGTAACTCAATCTCTCTGTATTTCTGAGTATTTTTGACTGTAGGATGTCCCTCACTAATGCCTGTATCTGCAGTAGGCCTATAAATATACTGCAGGTGGGAAGGTAAGTATAGGAAGAAAAGGGCTCTGGTGAGTGGCCTTTGCAGAAAATTACCTTTTATCTTTTTTTTTCATGGAGATTTATATTTATAACAATAGAGTTTTTCATTGCAAGGCCTTTTCCAAACCATTCTACTTCAAAAAGTAGATGGAGAGCACCAGGTCAGAGACTAGCTGTGGGCTCTTACCAATACTACTTCTTCTGCAGCAGAGGGCAGTTGGGTAATTTTTGAAAGAAGGTTTAATGTGCCTCCTTTCTTACAGGGAGAAAAGGTAAGTGTCTTAACTCTCCTTAGTATTTGGTTTGTAGCCTATGGCTAGTCTATGGTCTTCCCCTCTTCTTATACCCTCCCGTCTATTTGACTCCTGCCTGATCAAGTCTGTTTTGATACCTAGATTAATGCACATAAAACAGGAATTTGCGTCAGTCCTTTCATGCCATTCTTACTTCACAAGGCCTTACAATGGAAGACTCACAAAGTACGTTGATGCAACAGAGTGACTAAGGGTTTCCTCCCTCTTCTTTTTGCCTCCACTTTCTCTTGTCTCACAGGTCTGCCCATCCGCTTCCTCCTGCGGTGAGTAACGCCAGCAGCCTCTGCTCGCTTTGAGACATTTAGAGTCTGAATCGTTCTTTTAATTTAAGGTACCCCAGAGTTCATGGCCCCCGAGATGTATGAGGAGAAATATGATGAATCCGTTGATGTATATGCTTTTGGGATGTGTATGCTAGAGATGGCCACGTCTGAGTATCCTTATTCCGAGTGCCAAAATGCTGCGCAGATCTACCGTCGAGTGACCAGTGTAAGTCTCTCCCCACTACTGATTCTAAAGCTACTATTAGCAGAAAAAGAGTACAGCTGGCTAGCATGGTGCTGTGCAAGTGTGTGTGTAGGGGAAATAAAGAAGCTGACAAGAGTATGTTTTTTGGGGGGGGAGGAGTGGGGGGTGCGTGGAAAGGTATAGCATGGTTCAACTTACCAAACAGCCAGTCAGAAGCCTGTAAAATATGTGAATAGAAATAAAATTTAGCATGTATTCATATTCTTCCTTCAGTATGTAAGGTGTTGCAGAGGATTTAAACCTCCCTCTCCCCCCAAAAAAGGAAACCCCCACACCAAGCAAAAGAAAAGCAAAAAACCCTAAACCAAAACACCACATTAGAGTAGTAATAGGTTATTTTCAAAGCCACTGGGGGAGTGGTAGAATTATTTCAGTAGTAGATTAGCTGGTAACTTTTTTCTCTGAAATAAAGCTGGATCACAAATTCGGAGCACTTTGGCTTAGCTGCCTGCCAGTGTAAATTGTAACTTGTTACCCAGAGTGATTCTAAGTTAATAGCTTGCTGAATTCTAAATGGCCCTTAGCTACTGTGTGTTGGGTGCACTTGTAATTACGCAGTGGAAATATTTGGTAAATAGCAGGAAGTTATTGCATCTTGAAAAGTGCTAGTAAATGTAGTGGTGTGGTGGTAGGGGTGTTGTGAGTGAAACCAAATAGGGCTGGGAAGGCAAGCAAGAGATTTGAGCTTGCCTGTCTGACTGGGCTGTGGGAAACCTACAGACTTTGAAGCAGAACTGTGGTGCTAGAAAAGTTCAGAATGGTTGTGGCTAGGTTTAGTTTTTGATCTCTCAAACAATTTTGTGAAGACTGTACCAGTGCAGTAAAATAAACCGCACATGTTCAACCTTCTGATCTAAGCATTCACAAAGAAAAGTGAGGTGATCGCTTGGGGAAGTAAAAACTTTCACTGATTTCTCAGAATACTTGTGCCAATGTGTGAAGGAAGGAAAAAACTTACCTCTCTGATCTGTAGACAAATGAACTCCTGTTAAACGTTTTGTATGTATTATCTTGGAGATGTTGAGGATCTAATAAATGACTTGCTTTGCTTTGGAAAAAGAAAATGCTCTCTTATTCCTAATGCCTCACACTATAAAAGGCTGATCTAATTAGTGACTAACAGATGTGGACGGAAGGGTCTTTATGTCAGAAGTAAAGAATTCTGAAGGAAGGCTTGGTGAAATAAAAGACTGTCCCTTCTTTGAAGGGGAATGTTGGTGAGGCACAGGAGGAGGAAGAAGGGATAATAAATGACTTTTTTTTTTAACCAGATGTTAGAGGAAGTTTTTATATATATATATATCTATA